TGTGTTGAGCCGCAATACCACCGACGCCGTTCGTACCGCCGGTGCCGGTACCAGCAGTTCCGCTGTCGTCGGTAGAGCCACCCGAGGTCTGGGGCGCCTGATCTTGGACGGGTTGGCCGGTGTCCGCGTGGTACCACCGAATCAACGGCTTCGGGTCGCCCTCGGCGCGACACATAAACTCAACCAGGCCGCCTTCGAGGAGGAAGTTGTCGCGAGGGTACTGAACAATCACCGGCTTCTTGCCCGACGCCTCCTTCGCCTTCTGCCCGACCTCGGCGGCCAGCTCGACGAAGAGGCAGAATAGTAGAGCACAGCAGGCCAGGCCGAGCTGGAGGCCGGCCAAGCCCTGGCGCGGCTGGGCGCCACGAGCAGACATGGCTGTCTTGACGACTCAGCTGTAGAGCTGGCCGGCTTCGAGAGCCTCCCGGCTCGTGGGATGCATTCGCTTTGAAGCAGCCGCAGAGGAAGCCACTCGCCTCGCTGGGCCTCGATTGACGCTTCTGGCAAGTCCGGTTACGGGTTACTGTGGGCGCGGTGCCGTGAAAAGAGCAAACAAAGGAGAAAGTGTAACATCTGACTAGACGTATAGTGCACTGGGTATGCATAAAAGAGTGTCCTTTGTCTCAAATAACAACGCTTTTATAACGGTCTCAAATGCACAAAGTGGTAAGAGGACAAGTGTGAAGCAATAAATTAGGCCATGCCTTGTGTCGTTTGAAGACCAAAAGATAAGGTGGATTTGGCGAGTTTTCGCCTTCAGGTCAGAATGATGAGGAAAAGAGAGTGGAGATGAAATTGGTTCACCAACTCAACAGTTTAAGCACATCGCCCTCAGCTGACGATAAGTGCAGGTGAATTCACGCAAAAACAGCCTGAAAAAAGTCAGCTCACATTTCGTTTTTGCAGGCATAAAATGACATCAACTCACAGCCAGTCTCGAAAAAGTCCCTTTCTAAGAACCGAATGTGCGGGACAATTCGGATATTGGGCAATGCAAATC